TGGAAATATATATGTATATATTTTTGGTAATTTATCTTTGCTTAAGACTAAGAGACCAATAATTCAATTTGGACAGAACTTCTTATCCTAACAAAATCTTTAAAATGTTCACATTTATCAGTAACCAATGCATTTTTTTATACCAAAATTTTTGGTTTGGTTATTTTAATTATGAATATGCAAAATAAAAGACTCATTTAAGCTGAAAATGATAGAAGAAGATAAGATTAGGCGTGACGTTTGCACCCGCCCGTATTGGGCTTTGAACTGCGTGCCGTGTTTACATTTCATCTTCTGGATCTTAACCTTTTTTAAATTTACACAATAACCCCAATCCTTTCCGAAAACTTCACTTACGCCTCAAACTTCATTATCAACCCTCTTGATATTTTACATTATAGATCCTCAATGTTTATGGATATACAAACAAATTTTCTCCAATCAGTAACTGCCACGTGTGTTTATATAAATACTAGTAGTGATTTACAAGTTGATATATAAAATACTAATTTACAAAATCCATCGTTTTTTATCTTACATCTTTACATTGTTGATTCTTCTTCATTGGCTTAGGTTGCAAGGCAGCTGACATTAACCGGAGACGATCAACAATCTCCGTGAACGACGGTCGTATCGCCGGATCAAATGACCAGCATTGCTCCATCAAATTTCTCCACATATCATCACATTTTTCCGGTACCGAAGGTCTCAACGTATTGCTCACAATCCCACCTTTTATTCAAACTAAGCACATTAGAAATTGAATTTGCTTATGTACAAATCAAAAGAAACTATAAGTAACATATGTATACCAATTATGGCGCCGCAATGCATATCTGCGTAAGGTTCTTCGCCTGTTAAAATCTCCCACATCGCGACACCAAATGAGAAAACATCTACCTGCAAAGATTGAGAGACTAACGTAAAGCTCTCTTTTCGCATTAGTCATTGATTTGGATCATGGAAATGATTGTGGTTAGTACCTTCTCAGAGACGCGGTTGCTGCTACCATTTAATAGCTCTGGTGCCATCCATGGAAGGGTTCCTCTAACTCCACCAGAGACAAGCGTGTTACGTTTTATTCTTGACAATCCAAAATCACCAACCTACATAAGCTCAAAATATGAAAAGAGGGAACTTTCTAGAGATAAAAAAAAAAATAATCCGATTTTTGTCGAAAAACGGGTTTTGTTGTTACCTTGCATATTGGTCTTTGTGGATCTCTCAAGTTAACAAGCAAGTTATCGCATTTTAGATCGAAATGAACAATATTCTTCATATGGAGATACTCCATGCCAAATGCAGCATCTAGAGTTATCATCAGCTTTTTCCGCCTATCAAGCGACCTGAGT